TCTTTTCTTTATCTAGCTACTGATTTAAAAAGCCTCATTCACAGATTAAGCTTTGTACTAAGCCTCTTACTATTTTAAATCAGGAGTTCACCTCAAGTATTATGTAATTGAAATAGTAACTCTGCTCATGCCTGTAGCTACCGATTTAAAAAAGTTTTTAGTAAAAATATGCCTTAAAGGGTAGCCTGAATACTGTCATCAGAATCATCCCATGCTGACTGAGGATCTTTGAGCTGATAATATTCCCACTTCTTTATTCAGAACTTTGAAAAATCCTTACGAAAATTCTGGCCTACATTGTGTTGACAAGATCTCTATTTGCTAATAAAATGTCTTATTTCAGTAGGCTTAATGAATTTTTTTCATTAGAAAACAAATGAACTCCACACCAGTTTTATTTTATAAAAGGGGCACATTTCTGTAGTGCTGGGAAGTCATGAAAAACCCTTAAACAAAAATTACAATCCCTGATGCAATGTTTCAAATAATATAAAACTAACCTTGCTAGTTCTAGGACTTGTTAGGACTAGCTAGTGCTTCAATCTTCTCTTCAATGCAGAAACCTTAAAAAAAATGACAACAAAAAGCCAAAATCAGGCCTACTGAACTAAGAGTTGACTCTAACTCACAGTGACCCTATAGGACAGAGTAGAACTGTCCTATAGAATTTGCAAGGCTGTAATCCTTATAAAAGCACAATGTCATATTGCCACATCTTTCTCCCATGAAGTACTGCTGGTTTTTAACTTTTGGTTAGCAACTGAGTGTTTTAACTACTGTGCTACCTGCATTTCTGCCAAAGCCTTGGCTTTCTTAAATCCTGGAACTATTCTGAGAACATCTTCAAGTTGAATCTTCATTAGGCTGTTAAGCATGGTAAAATGAGCTAGGTCTTTGGGTATGCTTTTTCTCCTTTAGTCTGTAAACACTAATTAGAATTTACTAAAGTAGAAATTCAGTAAAACTGCAAAACCTCTAATAGCAGGACACAGGATGTTAGCCAGGCTATTTCAGCTTGTCAAGCATCCTGTATGCTTCTATCTCTTACATATCCATTTCCCTTTTCAACCACACACTCAGGAAGTAAAAAAAAAAAGTCTGAGAAAATGAAGATTGTAAAAAAAATCTATCTAGCACCAAGAACTTCAAGAAGATGGCTGAAGAAGTGATGATCAAGGATGTTTGAAAACTTTTGGAAAGTAAGACCCTAACATACTTACATACAGAATAAAAAAAAGTCAGAAGGGAAAGCATGAAGGAAGCTATATATGTGAGGACATATGTTGGTATATGACACTAGAGAGGCAGAGATCGGCCACTGGATCAAACCAGTTATCACAAGCCCAAATACAGCTTCCAAAGTTTTGAATAACCTTGGGCCAGAGTCACTGTTTCAGCACCCAACTAACTTCATTTGTACAGTCACAAATTTGAAAGATCAAATTTATTCCTACTGATAGTAAAGAAAAAGGAGTTTCCAACTTTTCTGAGCTATTGCTAGCATGTGTATGTGTGTGTGTGTGTGTGTGTGTGTAAAATTAGATTTGAAAATAGCCAAAGAAATTAAGGCTAATTAACAATGGGAAGGTTTGACTCAGCATGGCTAAGGTTCTTACACATTTCTTATATGAGATGGTGGAATAGAATAAAATATAAATAAAATAATATAATATAAAAATAGAAGAAAAGAAGAAAAAAATCTAAGACCAAGAGCTGATATTAAGTAAGAAAATAGAGGGAGGGGGAATACCATATCCAAGAAAGTGCAGAGTAAATGAGCCCCTACTAGGAGGATTAAAGAGGCAGCTGCTTCTCAGAAAGATGTTAGAAATTAAAAATTTCAGGCTAAACAAAATTCAGTATTTGTGACTTGAGATAGGGAAAAATGTTGTTTTTATATCACCCAATTAAGTAGCTGTTTGAGTAAAAGATCTCCAAAATGTCAGTCTACTACATTGAGAAAAGAGCAACAGAGCCTTAAATAAAAGCTGATTAATTCAGAACACAATGTACTGCGAGACAGTTTAAGTGCAGTCAAGATAATAGGCACCTTCTGCTCTCAACACTTGTTCCATAACTTACTTATCAAACTCAGTTTATCATTATGATTTTCTTGTAATCAAGATGATTGATCAAGTCACTAATTCATATATTAAACAACATATAATGCACTTCAGACCAATAGACAAAAAGTGCTCTAAACTACTAATTCCTTCAGAGAATGAGATGTTATATACACTCAAGAATTTACTCCATAGAAGCAGCTGAAAAAAATATCCACCCATTACAAAGGATTCATAACAGTAAGTTCTGAAAAAAAAATTGTTTATTACAGTTCCAGTCTGTTTGCCTACTACATCTCCAGGCCATTTTTTTCCACATCTAACTAAGGATGAGAGAATCTTTTGCAACTGCTCCTATTTTTATTTTTATAAAAATACCATTGTACTCGTGAAATATTTTTATTTCTTCTTTGATTGCCACCTTTTTATTACATAGAAAACCATTTCATTCCTGAAAATCAGCAACTGACTATTAGCTCTGGACCCTTGGAGATCATGATACTTTCTGGCAGAGTTGGTAATTCCAAGCCAAAATTCAGCTGCAAAATAGAACAAACAAACAAAAAACACACCACCAAACAAAAAGAAAGCCCAGATCCTAAGAACTAGTTATATTCTATATGAGAATAGAGAAACCGAAGCGCTCCAGTTTGATTATTTCCCCCATCAGATAACAGCTATAGCACAGGAGATGTGTTTATCTGGTGCCTTTCCATTATATAATTTTCTAGGACTCATGCACAGTGTTAAAGTCTAAGAATGGGCCTGAATTAATCTCACAAAAAGCTTTTTACCCACTTCCCCCCACCAATATAAGAGAACGGTGCTGAGAACACACATAATAAAGAACACAGGCTTGTTCTTTTTACTACTTAAGTAATAAAGCAGGCTGGTGAAAGGAATGATGGACCGGAACTGTGTACACTTATTCTGTGAGATTGGTTTATTTCCATTTCTGTCTGAGTACTTTCAAATGTTGCTTATTTGTGGAAATATTTAGTAAAAACTAGGTAAATCTATATTTTGCTTAAATTTTTCTCTTTTGAAACACCTTCCCTTTTTTATCTCCCTTTATCCCACCTACTTATTCTTCACCCTCCCATTCCGAGCATATATATTCCCAAGTTAATAGGTTAGTAATAATATTAGTAAGACTAGTAAGAGTAACAACAACAACCAACAACAACATTAATAGTATCAATCCTCTATATTTGTATAGCACATTATGATCTACAAAGTGCTTTCACATTCATTATCTCATTTGTGCTATATGCATCAAGTTATCAGACACACAGGTTTCAACTGTGTGAGGAAAATAGATCAAATATTAGAAGTTAAATGGCGAATAAAAGAAATAAAGGACTAGTAGTGAGGGTTGTTAGAACTGTGGAATTTTAAGAAAAAAGTGAGGGAACTTTGAGTTTAAAAAGAGATATTTATATTTATATAAAAAAGTAAGATTTAAGTTTAGTGTGTGACACCAAATATCATTAATCCTCAGACTAAATGTGTATGGTCCAAGTTTGTTGTCACCACAAAGTGCACCTTATCTGATGTGTGTGTGTGTGTGTGTGTGTGTGTGTGTGTGTGTGTGTGTGTGTGTACGCGCGTGTGTGTATGTGTGGAGAGAGAGAGAAAGAAGACATAGATAAATATCTCACTCACTCATTGCTGTTGACTTGGAATAAACTCATAGCTGACCCTCAAGTAGGTTTTCCAAGGCTGTAAATCTCACAGGAAGAGATTGTCCACCTTTCTCCTGAGGAGCTACTGACGGATTTGAGTTGCCAGAGAGGCACCACTTTGGTTGCACCAATATATA